GTGTATCATTTACATGATACAATCAGACACCTGAAGAGGCACACAGGTGTCAAGTCCCTCCAGCTCTAAGCTGGTACTAGTTTTAGGCAATATAGCCTGCTCCTAAATTCTCCTCTTCGCTATGTGGCTTTATAATCACATTCCCCACAAAAATCCTGCCTGTAACAAGTCAGCTGCTTTTTTCCCCCCAGGTCTTTCAGAAAGAGGTCACACACATAGAGTGGTCAAAAACAAGATCTCTGGAGAAAGAAAGACTGGTAACATGTCCTGGGCAGAGGGAAGACAATCTCCACATTTCATGCTCAGGAGACAAGAGCAGGATTTTAGTCCCACCAAAACCATCCATGCACAATAAGCTGTTGGATGCAGCCCCTCCCCACTCCCAACAATCCCTTCTGATTTACTCACGGCCACTAATCGCATTAGAGTTCCTATAATTAAAGCACCATAATATCTGATCGAGAATATAGTATGCTGTTTAAATAAACTCACCCAAAGTCTAATATAAGAATGACAGCTCCAAGAGAATTACAAGATTTACAAAATAAAGCATCACTAATGAGCATAGGATCAAAACTGGATTATCAAGTTTCCTAATTTGCATGTAGAAAAAGCAGGCATTCAAATCACCAAGGTTTCTATCAAACTTTTACAGCCACTTTATAGGAGAAGTGAAACAACTATAGATACATTTATATAGAGAGAGCTTCAAATATTTATTAGAGAACATATTGAACTTTATAGATGCTAGGAAACAGCAAATGTTATTTTGGTCTAGTCAATACTTGCTAAACAGTGAGGAGCGAGACTGTTGTTCTGCATAGCACTTGTCAGGTTTACATACAAACCTTAGCCTCTTTACCAGTCCAGGAAAAGTTAAACATAAAAACCTGGTTAAACTTTAGGTCTTCTCCCTCTCTTGTTAAGCCAAAATTCTTCCCCGTACCTCAAATTGTTTATTTTTAAAGAAAATGTCCAAACAAGAACCCCCAACACACAAATGGACAAAAAGCAAAGCCAGGCACAAATAGTCCCTCTGACTCAGATGTACAAGCAGCCAGGAGAGGTTAGGAAGTGAATCATTCATTTAACAAACCTATGTGTGCACACAGCTTCTGGAAGAACCCACATTTGGTGCCATGTTAAATACAGAGGAAGATGGGAAGTGAAGGAGATGTGAACTGCATTTTATATCTGTGAGACCGAATGACCTGGTTCTTTCCCTCCAGCCCCCCGTTCGTATGCTGGATGCACAAGTGTAGAAGCCTAGAAGCTCCTAGAAAAAACAGTGCTTCCACCCTTCTGACTCTGACCTCACCCAGCACATGCCTGAGAGCCCATGAAGATGGCCTCTGTGAGCACCATGGTCCTGGAAAAGCACTGACATTTCAAACATTCACACTCTCCAGCCTCATCTGTTTTACGTTCATGATTAAGCATTAACAACAAAGAACAGCTTTGGGCTACATTGATTCCTGAAGTCAGGGCTTGCTGAGACCTGACCAGACTCTGTGGGACCCACACCAGGTCCTGAAGTGCAAGAGCTGCAACCTCTTTCATGCTAACCCATCACCCATACCTCCCCCTCCTTCAATTTCTCTGGGTCCAAGAGAATAAAGCCATAGAAATATTTTTGTGAATGGTAGATAAACTGGTTGTAGTCAGGCTCTGATAAGCCCTGAAGGTCTGCGAGTATTAGACCAGGAGAAAGAACAGCTAAATTAAGGCAGAGGTAAAGTTACACAATTTACCCAAAGTCAGGCTCCAGATCAGCCTGGGTGCTCCAGGCTAGCCTGCTAAGCTTCTGCACCAGCCATTAAATCTTTGAAAGGGATTATGCAGCAAGGTGCCAGTGATAAGAGAGACTGGGTTTGACCTCTAAGGACCTTCCGATGCGACATTCCTAAATCAATTACCCTCATTTTCCAGCATGCTGGTAACACTCCAAGCAAACTCTGCAGTTGGAGTATTTTCATCTGGACAATCTTCTTTTCAACAATGCCTAAAACTTTGGTTGATTTTCTGATCCACAAAGAGCTCATAGGCAGAAGTTTTGATGCTGTTAAATTTGCATAGAAGAAGGCAGAGTGCTTTAAGAGGGTTTTTTACTTTGCTACTCCATTAAGCATTTCAGAAATCATGATGAAACCATATCAAGAATCCATCTCTCTTCAGTGGGAAAACACACAGACATTAAAGGAAACATGAATTATTTTAAGCGTTATACTACTGCCAACATACTCCACACCTTCAGCATAAAAGACCACTCCTCGAGAGACTTAGAGTCAGACAGTGTCCTCCCAAACAAAGGGCACAAATTGCTACTTCTCTGACACAGAAAGCAGGTCTAAACAACGCATGTTGATGCTTTGGGTTTTGGTTTTTGGCTGTTTTTGTTCATTTTCTATTTCTGGTACATTCCTAAATGAAGCTGACTTTATCCAAACTGAAAATCACTTAAAGTTCTCAAACAGAAACAGCTTTTCAACGTTTACTCCTTTTGGTAAATTTTCTTTGGTACAGAAAGTGCTAAGTCTCAAAGATGAAAGGTGACTTTATTCCTATCCTATACTGCCTTTCCACTCATTCTTCCCAGAAACTCCCGTAATATAACTGACATGGAGAAACCTTCTCTCTCTCCTCAGGATGAGTCACAGGGTCCTTTCCACGGCCCAAAGGAAAGATATATCACTTCTTGTTCTTCTCAAAGAAATATCACTTTCTTGTTCTTTTCAAAAAAAGAAGATAGGCGAAGAAGACTTTGGACTGTTATTTGAGGATATTTTGTTTCCTTTTTCCCCAAACAAATTTATCAAGCAACTAAACTTCTGTCTGGTCGTAACAGCTTCTATAACAATGTGCCCGCAGAAGCTATCTCCCTCCTCAAGATCAGCATCCCTGCTGCAGACAATTTATCAAGCAACTAAACTTCTGTCTGGTCATAACAGCTTCTGTAACAAAGCTTCTGCGGGCACAATCTCCCTCCTCAAGACTTCTACCCCTCTGCATCTGTATCCCTGCCCCATCTTTTATGCACAGGAGTAAGTACCCATATGGCTATTTGCCAAGCAGACCTTTTAGTTGCTGCTGGGATAAGCTTTGCAGAGCGCTCAGCAATAGTAGCAGGTTCCTTGAAGAGGGCATCCCTGCATATGCACCCAACAGCTGGTCAATGGTAAACCCACTTCATTGGGCATGTACCTGGTTCCCAGGCCAGCCAGCTGTTTCAGCCACCAAGCTGCTGGAGCATCCCCCAAGAGGCCATCCTAAACCAGGCAGAAGAGTTCTTCATTATGGCTTTAGCTACTGGATCACACAGCTTACATTAGATCACTGCAAGCTGCAGGCATCTGTGAAAACTAGAGAAGACTATCCTGACATCACACCACTTCAAAATTTCCAGCTTCAAAGACAATATTCTGACACACGACTTCAGTGGCAAACATAAAGGTGGTACAAGTGTGCACTGGTACTACACTCTAAAAGCTTACTGGGAGTTTTCAGTTCACCACTTAACTACAAACCAAACCATTCTGGGCTCTCTGCACTAAGTCTCAAGAAGGCATAGTAAGTGTTCCTGACTTTCAGTGTTACAGGAAACATACAAAACACACTTCCACTTCTCCCATCCATCAGTTAACACATTAAGCCCTTCCCTGTTATCTAAACATAAGAAGGGTGGTCCATAAAAATGCTAGTGAGTTTACTATAAGCCAGAACAAACGCTACCAGCACTAGTAAATGCCATGTAGGCTACCAATGCCTGGAGAGGAGCACATGCTTCACTTCAGCCAGCACGTGCAATTTCCAAGCAATGAAATGTTCCCTGGTCAGAAGAGCCCAACAACTATTTATAGTGCACAGGGGTAGCTGTAGCCGTCCATCCTGCCTTACACTTGCAGCCCGGCGGGAGCACAGCTCCCAGCCCCAACAGGTGTAAAGATTCATTCTACCACCAGCACATCTCCACTGAACACGTCCCAAAAGTTGAATAAAAACATAAAGGTGGTAAGCAAAGGGTTTATTTGGTTTTGTTTTTCCCACATACCCATACTTTTCCCAATGCTCTTTGGGTTTAGGGCATGCCTACACTAGCAGCAGAAACAATGCGCAAGTGTTTTGTGATGCTAAACCAGCTACTAAAAACACTAGGGAAGACAGAGCTTTGCTTTCAAGCTGCTGATTTCGATTTGAAACAGCAGTTCTGACTGACAAAGCAGTGATGAAGCTATAAGCAGCCTCTACCTGAGCAGCTGCCTACCCAGGATGAGCAGCTATCTGACCAGGATGGAAGTCTCCTTGTGTTTAGCTTTCTTTCCCCCCAAAAAAGTTGTTTACTGATGTAACTGGGATTCTTCACAAATAGTCTAACAGTGTCCCCCCCCCAACTACTTTAACCTTACATAACTGGTGTAATACCAAACGGGAGACTACCAAGGGAACTCTGAACACCCGCCGACACAGACGGCGGCAGAGGCACAGAGAGGTGCAAGGGGCTGCAGGATGGGGGCCGAAACCCCCAGCCCCTCATTAGCAGTGGTCGCTCATGCTCCCAAGAACGATGCTCTGTTCCTCATCATTCTCTGCACTCCTCTTTAAAACAAGCTGGTGCTAGCAAGAGTTTGAGAATCCAAGGAGAAAATCCTTTAAAAGATGGGCAAGAGCCTGAAAACACAGAAGTCCTTTAAAAGATGGGCAAGAGCCTGAAAACAGAAACGAACGCACCACCAGGCTGCGTAACAAGGCGCAGACAAACATTTCGGGAACAAATGGTCATTAAATCAGCCGCTCACAGGCAGACGGCTGCCAAACGCGTTCCGTAAGGGATGGGAGACGTTTCCTACTCCACCCCACCGGAGCTCAACCCGCCGGGCCGGACCCGGCGCGATGCTCGGGCCCCGCGACCTCTGGGGGCGGTCGGGACGGAGCTGCCGCTGCAACCGCTCGGTACCGAACCCCGGTCCCCCCAGCGCAGCAAAGCGGCGCCCGCCGGGCCGTACCTGGGAGCTGAGGTACCGCTTGAGGCACTCCTCGCACACCGCCTTCTTGCAGCAGGACAGGGGCTTGATGGGCTTCTCCTCCAGGCACACCCGGCAGCTCAGCACCAGCAGCGGCCCGAACTCCCCCGCGATCAGCCCGGAGAAGGGCTCGGGCAGCAGGTACAAGTCCACCACCTCGATGCTGCCGCCCGCCGACAGCGGGTCGCCGCCCGC